TAACTGCCAAGTCACTGAGTCAGAATCGGGGCCACAGCTCTGCCTAGGGCTTCCCAGAGCCCCTGGTTCTGAGCTCACAGCAGTTAGGTCTACCCTCAGGGACCCCTCCCGCTGACCTCTGTGTGTACACACACATGCTCACACGTGCAAGGCTGAGGGCTTGCCACTAAGGCTTTGATCTAGGAAGGAAAGGATATAGCCCCTGACCTGTCTTGCCCTCCACCCTGCCTTCCTTGAAGCCTCCCTGAACCCTCGCCTCCCAGGGCTCCTCCTCCTCCTGCTCCGCCCTTGCACAATCAGTGGTACCGACCCTTACTCTGCAGGCATCATGACCAGCCTAGAGGGAATTGTGAGTAGGAGTCAATTGGTCCGGATCATCTGGGAGCTGAATATCAAATCTAAAAGCTTGACCTCTATTTTGCATGTGTTAGGAGGTCACTGACAATATTTTTTAATTAGGATAAAAATCAGTGGCTTTCCTTCAAAACACAGAGGTGGACCACTATTGTAAAGGGTAACATTCTAATTGTATTACATTGACCGTACAGTCATCCCACTTTCTACAGAGAACCCAGGAGCATGGCAGTGTCTCCCAAACATTTTCCTGTTCTATCTATAGCAATTTTTAGCACCAGCACTAATGAGGACTTGGCTTTGGTGGAGCAGCGAGCAGTTTTTCATAGCAACACATTGGGTGATAAGAGTAAATTATTTGGGATATACAGTTTTCCTGATGACATTTTAAAATTGTCGTTTAATGAACAGCAGAAATTCCCCACACACCTGCGTTTAACAGATACTAACAGCAATCACTGTCCACAGCTTTGGGGAACAGGTGATGTCTGACTTTAATTTTTAAATGTGTTCATTCAGCAAGTAGTTTTTAAGCATTTACTTTTGATCATAGTTTTGCATCATCCCCGGCCATGTGGGAGGAGGATGCGAAGACACTTAGAGAGTGCAAATCATATCCATCTCTGGAAACAAAATTAAAGCTCCCTTTCTTTTTTATAAATGTAAATAAGGAGAAAAGGAAAATGCTGAAACCTGAGCTAAAACATAACCAGTCTCATACCATGGTTGACAGCATATTCCATTTTTAAAGATTTTTAAGAACAATATTGCATACTTTTCACTGGTGGAAAATAGTACGACACACAGGTATATGTTAATTTTATTGACACTGCCCTAATAAAACGGTAGAAAAACATGCCGTTTCCACCCTCTGGGTATCCACGGTCAGGTAGATTTAGGGGCTCCAGTCATGCTCGACTCATCTTTTCCCTGACATTTAATTATTCACCGAGTCCTGTCAGAATCTCTTGTTTGTCCTTCCCTTTACCTCTGCTATGCCAGGGCCAGCGATGAGCCCTTATCATCCCTCATCTGATTTATGACAGAGCTTCTGGAGAGCTTTCTTCCTCCTGACTTTTGCCTTCCTGGTCCATTCGTTACATGGCGTCAAGGGTTTGTACTTAGAAGAAAAAAAAAAGGAAGAAAAAGTTGTATTCCCACCTTCCCCTCCCTCCTCAAACATCTAGTGTTACCTGTACTTTAGCATGGCATTTGCCAGTGGGGCTGGAGTTCTTGCCAGGCCCGTCTAGGACTGCATTCCAGCTTGTACTCGGGGCTCGAATCTACCTCCACTTCCCAAACCTGCCTCCTGTATTGAGTGTGGAATGCCCTTTCTGCAGCAGCCACGATGGGGCTCAGCCCTGACCTTCAAGCCCAGCCCAGAAGTGACCCGCCCCCGCCCCCTGCACTGGGGCGGAAGTCAGTTCTCCGTTTTAGGCCCTCCAACACTATATTGATTTTTACCTCTAGTAGGCATTCTTAAAAACTTAGCTCTGTATTCCAGTATCTTGTTCTCTCTCTTTCCCCACTTTCTTTTGTAAGATGTGTGGCTGTCTTTTATTGCTCTGGGTGCCCAGTAACTTTGAGCCAACTTTGAAGTGTAGAAACAGTCATACTGATTCTTAGTTCCAGCATATTTGGTTTCTGTTTTCCTTGTCCCCGACTTTCTCTATTCTTCTACTGGATATTGCTTCAAAACCCATCCTGGTAGGAAGAGCTTTGGTAGGGTTTGGGTGATGATGAGGAAATGCATAGACCTGCGTCTGTGAAAGCAGGCACTGTCTTGCTCACCTTGGTTCCAGCATGTCTTCATGGAAAAGGGAATTGAATCAAGGGAGCATTTTCATCTCTCCATATCTTTATAAATATCTGCATAGAGAATTTATCATCAGTTCTGATGAGTAAGAAAATCATCCAAACATTTCCGGTGTGGATATGAGAACATTTGCTTTAATTATTAAAAATAAATAAATCAGCCTTTGAAATGTATATTTTTGTGTTGTTAGAAATGAACCCTCATATTTCATTCTTAAAGAAGGTATTAAGGTTACACAAGTACTAATGACATAGTACGTGTGTATTTATAAGGAATTAATTTGTGTTAAGTTAGCTGTTCTGGGCTGGTATAAATTGGATGCTCCTGACTGGCGATTTGAATTGAGGTAACATTACTTTTACTACGTTTCAGTCCTTACCTCGTGCCCTATGTCCTCTTCTCAGAGCTGCTGTACCAGAACATCCCAAGCACCCATCTCTTACAGAGACTCCTTCTTCTTACCTATTTTTGAAAGAACCAATCATTGGGGATGCATTTTGTGTAAGTCAAGGCTTGAGCTGTTGAAATGGAGGCAGGTTCTGGGAAGAGGGGTTGGTTTTGCTAGAGTTGTAGTGACCTGTACTTTTTTAAAATGATCTGAAATATTTGATGATAAAATTAAACCAAGGAGCAAAAAAGTTCTACTTCTTAGCTCCATCCTTGATGCACTGTATGTTTCTTTGAATGAAAGAAGTCAAGGTAGTCTCTGAATCCCAGGCCAGTTTTGACTCTGGAAATTTTGATGACTGAGTTTTGCATTAGTTTTAGGCTCATTTTCGCTGATTCCGTGAACCAGACTCCCCACTGAACCTCCCTGGTGGCCGGGGCCAGTGTACAGAGCTGGGGGCGGGAGCTTCAGTTCCCTCAGTGGCTTTCCACAGTTACCTAACTTGCCTCTATTTCCTCATTGACACCGTTGGGATAATCGCTTTTCATACCGCATAGGAGTATTGTGAGATTAATTAATGTTTGTGAAGTGTTTTTAGGATCACGATGAAAGGTATTTATTAATTTGTAAGCATGCGGTATTATTATAATTATTACTAGTAATAGGGATGGTTGTTTAATGCAAATTTTCATCTAAGTGGAGTGTCATATTTTCAAAGGACAGTCTCTTTCTTTGTGGCCAGATGTGGATACAATTAACCCTTTACCCTTTATTTTGAAGATACAATTAGCCAGTTGTATGTGCAATTTGACGTGTGTGCAGTTTTGCCAGAACAACTAATTACAGCCTTGGTGAAAGTCCCTTTGAAAACGCTGGCCCTTTGAATCTGGACTGGCCCTATCTCTGTAATAAGCAATTTGTGCTGAACATGTTTGGGGGCCATGGAGGCTCCTGAATATTGAAGAACTGCTTTTGCAGTTACTGGAAGATTTTACTTTTTTGAAGCCATAGTTTTGTATTTTTGCCATCAAGCCTAAAAAAGCCTTTCACATAGTTCTGGTTTCAAAGGTTTTATTGATTTTTCTTAATCTTGACATTCAGCTGAAAGATTTTCCACAGACTGCATTTTGTGAAACAGGTTTTTCTTTTGTAATTTTTTTCTTCTCCCTTGAAAACTCCATTTCCTTTCTGTCTCTGATCCAAACATATCATCTCATGTTCCCCTTAGTCAGTAGTGAGTAAGGAACAGATTAGCACTGATCCTCCCTTCCCAGATATGGCCCCGTGACACCGTTTTACAGGGGACTTTTAATCACCATAATGTAAACTCTATACAGAAGAGTAGGAAGAAAACTGAAGAGGCCGGGAAGATACGGTTATATCCGCTTGTCTCCACTGATATCCTGTTATGAAGTGAAAGGGAAATGTTCATGGCTTTTAATGGTCAAGTTTAAAAACAGCCTGGTTTAAGACATCTCCACTCTTTAACACTCCGGGGCACTGATAATCCCTGAACTTGACTTTGTGTGAGGCACCATCCCTCCACCATGGGTGACTGCGAGATGAGCAAAGCACACTTGTCACCTTCTAGGAGCTTGGAATACGTGTTGAAGATAAGAAAGGGGCTCAGGTCTGCAGGCTGCATTAAGTACTGTGCACACTGGGTGAGGATAACAGGATCAGGGGCAACAGCTGGAGCTTCTTATGAGCCTCACTGGAGATAGGACCAGAAGGATAGGTCAACTTTTGATAGACAAGAGGGAATGTTTCTGTGTGAGTCAAGGCCTGAGCTTCTGAAACGGAGGCAGGTTCTGGGAAGAGTGGTTTTGCTAGAGTTGGAGTGACCTTGAAAAGGAAGTGCCAGGAGATAAGACTGGAAAGGCAGCTTGGAGCCACACTGTGGAGGGCCCTGACACGCAGGTGGAAGAGTGCAACATGAAGCCAGTGATATGACCGGAGCCAGGCTTTAAAATGAAGCCGGCCCAGCATGCCAACCAAGTGCAGTGGGGACAGACCAGAGCTGTTCCTGGCCTGTTAGCATTGGGAGTGAGAGTTCTTATACACATGAGGCATCCTGCGGAGTTAGTATTTTTGATATTGGCACTGTCCTGATATAGAGGTGAAGGACAGGAAGGAGCTGGGTCAAGGTGACTGGGAAGAAAGAGAGATGCACTTTTTACTGAAATAGGGATGTCCAGGGAGGGGGCAGGTGTAAGAGAACTAACTGTTGGGAATTACCATCTCACGGCATGTTCATGTGTCTAGACCAGTGGTTCTCAACCTTCTGGCCCTTTAAATACAGTTCCTCATGTTGTGACCCAACCATAAAATTATTTTTCATTGCTACTTCATAACTGTAATGTTGCTACTGTTATGAATCATAATGTAAATATCTGATATGCAGGATGGTCTTAGGTGACCCCTGTGAAAGGGTCGTTTGATCACCAAAGGGGTCGTGACCCACAGGTTGAGAACCGCTGGTCTAGATAAAGAACACCAGATAGAAGATTGATTCTGTAAGTTCAGTGTAATGTTTCCAATAAGAAGAATGGAAAAGAATTACATCTTCTCTCAACAACATCAACTTACATTGCAGGGACATATGAAACAATATAAAAAGAAAGCTTGAAGGAATTAAATACCTTTCTTGGAGCCTGTTAATCTTTACAGTATGGAAAACTAATTGGAAAGGTATAATATATGCTGACTGTCCAAAACACAGCTCTTAGAAGTATCTTTGTAATTACTTTTTCAAGTTTCTATTTGAAACAGTTGAAATGAAGAAGCCAGAGCAAAACGGTGTTTGCCTATCTCATCACAGGAAAGTCTGTTCTCCATCTCCTTCTGTCAAACATTGGTTTCCAGGGAGATTCTATGGATAATTTATCATGCCATCAGCCTCAAGAATGTAGAGCTCTACCCAAGTGTCCCTAGATGACCTGGTATGATTCTGTCATCTGTAAATTTCCTATCCTCTTTCCAGCCTGTACCATATGTGTCAATAATTTATTGTTGAACAATAAATCCAATGAGTCAGGGTGATTTTACCAATTATTAAACTTTCAGTTGTAAAATGAAAAGTCTGTAATCTGTGTGGTAATGCTTTACGCACATAATTTCAGTTGCGTTTTTCCTCAAGTAATGAAACATTGTGGGAAGACCATACGCTTTGGAATAATACCTAGTTACCTTTCCTGTAAAATGCAAATATTGAAAATATATCCAGTTGCTCATGCTGAATCTTTGGAGTTATGCTGGCTCCTCTTGTCTCTCATACCTACATCCAATTGCTCAGCAAATTCTATACCATCCAGAATCCATCACTTCTTCCCTCTTTCACTGTCATCCAGGTCTAAGCAACCATTTCTCTCGTCCCTGGATTCTGTAGTAGCTTCCTAACTCTCTCCTCCATTGTTGCTGCTCAGCAGTGTCAATGTAACAATGTCCAAACCTGTAGAGAAATTTTATAAAAATGTATTAGAGCCAAACAAAGGGTACACCTGGAAGCAAGATCTCAACAGATTGAGAAAAATGCTTCCTAGAATAGCAGTCTTCAGCATCCTTAATGCATTTGGAATTGAGGAGGGAGTTGTAAGGAAGGCAGAAGAAACAAAGGCAGGGTTTGTATTACAGGACAGTTAACAACAGTATGTGCTCTCCAGAGGTGGTTTTGCTTGAGGGGTCTGAAAAGAAGCATTCCAACGGTGTATTAAACTAGGTGCATAGAAACAATGGACAGGGCTTGCTTAAGGCAGAGATAAACCTTTTACTAAAAAACATATATGTCTGGGGCATGGCTACCCACCATGTGAGGATAGCTTCCATAGAGCCCCCTTTTCATTCACAGTAGTCTATTCTCAACTATGCAAAGGACACAGAAATGTTTTTTCAAACACAAGGCAGATCACTTTCAAGTTCAAGTCAAACCTCAAGGCCCTACTCAGTCTGGTCTCCCCGTAGCCTTGTCTGTCATACTCCCATTTCTGTTCACTGTTCCACCCTCACTACTTCCTGCCCCAGAGCCTTTGCTTTGCTTGTCCTGGCCAGGAACACCCTCCCCTCATCTCCTACAGATGACCATCTTCTCAGGAAAGCCTCTCCTGACTAACTTCATTTAAAAGTGTACTCTCCATCTCTCCTTTCTGCTTATTTTCTTCATAGTGCCTATCACTGTCTACTGCTATACAATGTATTTCACCCAATTTTGCTGAAGGTCCTTCCAAGTGCTTACAGCAATGCTTGCCAATAGTGGAAGTGCTCAGGAAGTATCTGTTAAATGAATGAACATAGCCATACTTTTAGGCAGTGATTATTAAATGCAATTATATATCCGAACAATACCTATTTGCTCAGTAAACATTACCTTCATTCTTTCTCTTTTGTTTCTCAAGGCATAGCATTTAGGCAATGCACATGGCATTCTGAAATCACATTTAACAGTTGTGTGTAGGGATGTTACCATTATTTAACATGTGGCTGTAGAACTGTAATGTGCTGGTGCCTTCTGAAAGCATTCTTCCATTTTTCTGGCCACTCATTCAGGCATAGGAGATCTTCCTGTAATTTGCCTGTTTGAGGTTGTATTACTTAGAAGGTATTAGATAACTCTGACATTCCCAAAAAATGTTAGACCAGACTTAGTAATGTTTTCCAGATACTTAAACTTAACATTTTTTAACATCTAAATTTATATCTATTCCAATTTTTTTATTTCAGTTCCTCAAATTAGTTTTCTAGTAGCTTTTAAGGAAAAAGCTTGTCAGAGGTTTTTTTCCCAATGGAGTCTAGTAAGTACTTTTTAGTAATGATTATTTTCTGACTAAACAATATATGCCTACATAGAAAATACTTCGTTGGGTACAAAGTTATTTTTATGCATATAAAATACATATACATTCAAGAGAGTAAATTATTACAAGTATATTAGTCACTCATCTTCATTGTAATTCTGTAATTTCTGCCTGTATTTCTTTTTTAAAAATATATATTTTATTTATTTTTTACAGAGAGGAAAGGAGAGAGATAGAGAGTTAGAAACTTCGATGAGAGAAACATCGATCAGCTGCCTCCTGCACTCTCCCTACTGGAGATGTGCCCGCAACCAAGGTACATGCCCTTGACTGGAATCGAACTTGGGACCTTTCAGTCCGAGGCCAACGCTCTATCCACTGAGCTAAACCGGTTACGGCTGCCTGTATTTCTATGTTTTTGTTTTGTATATGTTGATCTTGGTATTTGATGTAATAAATTTTGTGACTTTTAAATTTCATTATGGATTTTGTCTTATCAATAACAAAAATATCTTCTCTATATTTTAAAAGTATTTTGCTGTTATTTTTAAATAATATTTTTGTAATCTCTGCTTTCTTGCTTACTTTTATATTTAATCTGTCTTTGAGATTTGTAGTATTCATTTATTTATTCATATTTCACTGATTGATATGACACATATTTATTGAGCTCCGACATTACAAGTATGAATAAGACAATAAACAAATGCAATAATTCTACTAGTGATAAGTACCATGAAGAAAATAAATTAGAATTGTGCACTAGCATAACAGGTAGCATGATAAGATAAAATTCTTATCTTTTAGCTAATGAAGGAGATTATTTGTCCTTCAAACAAGGATTAAAACACATTTAATGAAATCTCTGATCTGTGTGATCTTATATAATTATCTTATGTTTTCAGAGGGTTTGCTACCTTTTAGTAATTTGTATTCTTTCATTCCTATGGATCATAGCTTGTGTGTTTTTTTATTTTTATCCAGTGATATGGAAGATGCTGTTTTAATTCCATAAGTGGTTATTTTTAACATTTTTTATTGTCTAAAGTTTTACATATGTCTCTCTCTTTCTCGATTGACCTCCCCACCACCTCTCCAGTGTCTGTGTCCATTGGTTATGCTAATAGGCATGCATACAAGTCCTTTGGTTGATCTCTAATCCCCCCTTCCCCCTGACTTCCCCTGCCATTTGTCTCTGGATCTGTTTTTGTTCATCAGTTTATGTTGATCATTATATCCCACATATGAGTGAAATCATGTAATATTTAT